TCACTCTACTTTCGGGGTATTCACTGAAGTGACAGTCGACTGCAATGAGACCGCATTCCTGGTCGACAAGTGATGTGATTCTGACCACCGATTCTTCGGTCAAAAATGCCGAATAAATGGCGACTCTGTTAGCAATTAATTCACTCCATTCGCTATCCGGCGATACTTTTGGCACAATATTTAGCGTTTTAATGTCTTTTAACACAATATTAATCGGTATTATTCGGCATTCATTGCTGTTTAAGTGTAAATACATGAACAAACTTATTAATACACACAAAACAAATAAACATATTTTAATTATCAAAGGCAAGCGATGGACATTTAATCTAAACATGTTTATTTACTCAAATCCAACGCACAATTAAGACAATAACAATGTCTTAATGACAATAACAATAATTATTACTTTACAGTATGTATTGGTAGCCAAATAAGTCAATGTGTACTTTACTGTACAGTTTATATTTCATTTACAAAATAGTTGTATTCAATTGGTTTTTAAATACTTCATACAATACTTTTACAGTCATTTAGACAATTATTTGCCATACAATTAGGCAAATAAAAATGTAATGTTAAATGTTTTTAATCTTCAAACTGAGTGAACAGATATGAGGAACATTAATTAACCAATATAATTATTTATTTAAATTAAATAATTGTATTATAACTGAACATATTGTGCGATAAACCGGTTGATCGGCGCTTCAAACGCGGCCAAAGCGTTATCATCAGTAAACTCATCCCTCACTGGACTGAAGTATAACAGATCGTATTGACCCCAACTGAGCCACACCTGGTCTATACCCCGACAACACCGGTAGTGATACATCAGTACATCCGAGTCGGGCATTACCTTCATGTGAAAGCCCTGTACACTCGTATACACTGCATGTACCCATACATCGACCACACGGTTAGGTCGGAGGACAATAAACTTTGACCTATCCATTGGTTTCCAGGGGTAGGACTGTAGCCGAGTGTGACTTAAGATGCGTGGAAACGTGTTGTGGACCTGATATTCGCGGCACAGGAATCGGTTATTGACCAACAGTGACGATACGGACGGGTCGTTTATTTCGCGTTCAATTAATGATTGAATAGTATTTCTATTGTTGTCCAGAGACTTACTCTTCCGGACAACAATAAACTCATCCATGTCTACGAATATTACGGGTGAGTTTGAGTGCCGGAGTAGACAGTCATTAATGCTGGCCATTTGGCCCCAGGAGTGTATAGCGCGTGAATTGTTCGGGATATTAAACGACAGTATTTGCGTAAAATTCATGCTTAATATTAGCGCCCGAAAGCGCGGATTGCAATCGTAATCGTAAAACACGTATCGCTCGATACCGTTGGCCGTATAGTAGGCCATGAACTCAATAAAGCTTGCAGTCAAGTCACTGGTGTTATGCAGTGGGTGTACGCATACAACTGTACGTAAATCGTTAACCTGGTTATTATATGAGTCACTTTTGCTCACTTTAATCGTACGCCCGATAGTGGGCAAGTCTGGTAAGCGAATTGTGACATAATTTATGGATGCATGGTACTGTTTTGGTAGTGGACACCGGATTTCTGACGCAGCGTATTTCCGTCCACCACGATAGTTGCCCACAAGTACTTTCACAGTGGCGTGAGTACTGTAGATCACTCTACTTTGGTTGTGTTCACTGAAATGACAGTCGACTGCAATGAGACCGCTTTCCTGGTCGACAAGTGATGTGATTCTGACCACCGATTCTTCGGTCAAAAATGCCGAATAAATGGCAACTTTATTATCAATTAATTCACTCCATTCGCTATCCGGCGATAGTTTTGGCACAATATTTGTGTTATTATTCTCTCTCAACACAATATTTATTGGTATTATTTTACATTCATCGCTGTTAAAGTGTAAATACATGTATAAAATTATAAATATAATTGAAATAAGTATACATATTTTTATTATAGATCGCAATTTGTAAACACGTAATCTCAACATGCTTAAATAGTCAAATATCAATAGCCACAAATTTCATTTTTATAAACAACCTTGTTATTTAATGTCGGTATTGGAGCAAGTTAGGTATTTTCAAAATTAAAGTGCATATTCATTTTTTAAATAAATATTTTTATGCGTTTGTGAAATGTTGTTACATTCATTTTGATCATAACCTCTATTATTTAACATGGAGATTAAAACCATGGAAATAATTTATAGTTTTATAAAGCTTTAGTTATTATAGTTAGCTTTACATTGTTGACATTGTGATCACAATTTAAGATAACAATGCCCTTATACAAACATATTTATTCTTACTGTTTATTACATTAACTTTACTTAATAATAGCTACTTTATATTTGTTTACAAGTATATTGTATAGTTACTTGTACTTGTATAGTACTTACAGTATATTGTGCTATACTTGATATTATATAGTATAATTGAGTTTATCATGTTATCCGTAATAATTTTATTAGATAATAAAGTAAACTGAACACGGTCATTAATTAAATTTTAAATTTGCAATTACTAATTTTACAAGTTACAAAATAATGTGCTCATAAATCTATAATTTTAACAGTAATAAAGTTAATTTTTATGCTGAAATAAAGCTCAATATTAAATAGCAATTGCAATAATTTACACCCATAGTTACAATCATAGATAATAAAATATTTTTGATTATGTTATCTGCGAGTCTAACTAAATATAAAAGAAACAAAAATTTAATGTGTAAATATTGCTATTTTAGTAATAATAAATATTTATAATATTTAGAAGTTGTTTTAAATGTGTTTTAAATTATATAACAAAAATTTAAATATTTGTATTAATTATGCATTATTTAAAAAGTAGGTATTATTACCAAAACATAGGCTGATTAAAACTGTATAGTCGTGGTTCGTACAATATTTACATATAATATTGTAATGTTAAATGTAAAGTTACTTGTTTAATTTTATGAAAGTTGTTCACATAAAATTACATAACAGAACTGTGTATTAATATGTATCCAATATTTATGCGACGAAAAACAATTATACAACTAATGGTAACATTATTAGCCATAATAATAGCTATAATTAATATAAATAAATTAATAATCTCATACCACACAAAACTTTGCGAGTGGCCAGAAAGTGACCTGCAACAATTAAATTTCACACGCGTAATGTTTGTGTCTGACTTTCATTTACGGGCGGATAATAAAGTAACATACATCGAAAATAAATACTATCAATGGAAAATGTATTATACATTTCGATACGCATTGAGTGCATTGCGACCGCAGTATGTTTTCATCTTGGGCGATGTGTTTGACCGTGGTGATGAAGTTAGCGACACCATGTTTGCTGCACTTGTCGACAAATTTAATCAACTATTCTTGGGTAATAATAATTTATTAACTTATTAATACACGTATTACAACTATTAATCTCAATATGTTATGGCAAAAATAATTCAAAATAAAATATAACAATGTAAAATATGTACAATGCTAAATAAACAACTATTATATCTAACTAACAGCTAACTTAAGCAAATCGGTCGACTCGACAGCGCCCATCATAAACGTAATTAACGGCAATCACGACATCGGCTTTCACTACGCGATGACCACATCGAGTAAATCCCGTTTTGACCATTCATTCAACACATCGGCCGCAAAACTCATACAAATAAATGGCATTAATTTTGTTACCATAAACAGTGTCACAATGGAGGGCGACTATTGCCACCTATGTTCCCGAGCCGTACAACAATTACGTACAATTGGACACCAATTACGTGATTATACCGATAGGCCGGTAGTGTTAACACATTACCCATTGTATCGACGGAACGAAACGGATTGTGATAACAAAGGATATGATGCAGACTCGATGCCGGAATCGGATCGACTGATACCCTATAGGCCTAAGTGGGACTGTTTGTCGGCCAACGCTACCCGATATATACTGGACACTCTGCGGCCACGACTAGTGGTCAACGGACACACCCATTATGGGTGCCATAGACGACACGCCGCGGGTAGTGTTGACGAGTGGACTGTCGGCGCGTTTAACTATAGACACGCCAGTAGTCCGAGTGTGTTGTTGGCGGTAGTGTCGCCACATTTGCATAAAATTAATAAGTGTCTGTTGGCCAGTGATCTGATGTTTCACGCAATTGATGTATTGGTGATTGTATTTCTAATATGGTTCTCCTATAGAATTACAGTTTTATGCAAACGTAGGCAATATTTTCAATGGACAAAGTATAATAAAATGTACCCTGTTTAATTTTTTATTGCATCACTCTAATATTTCCGAGAAATTATTAAATAAAACAATTGTATTACATAATTGTTTATACTACAATAGATAATTATTTAATAAACAAATTGTGATTCATGTTTTAATAGCACTGTCATTACTTTTATATCCATTGAGACTCTTTTCATTTTGCTCTTAATATTCTGATGGGCCTGGTACTGGTGGTGGCGGTGGGCGTGGTCCTGGTGGAGGGCCTGGTCCTGGTGATGAGCGTGGTTCTGGTGCTGGTGGTGGCGGTGTGCGTGGTCCTGGTGCTGGGCGTGGTCGTCGATTTGGCGATTTGTTGTGTCGCGGTGTTTTTGGTTTTGATGGTGGTTTATCGGTTCTGATCAACACGACATTGGCTTTGTTACCTTTTTGTTTTGGCGGCTTGTTATGTCGCGGTGCGTGTGGTAATGATGGTGATTTAAGTTGTCGTAGTGATGGTGGCAATTGTGATTGCATTCCAGGTTCATTGGACCGTGGCATTCCTCTATTTTTGGTCCGTCGGCTCAATTGACCCTCCACTACGAACATGGCCAGTAAAATTACTAAAGGCATCAGTATTACGATATGCGAGATTTTACCAGCCATGCTTTAGCTTATCAATTAAGCTATACACTTAAAATATTGTATAAGTATTATATTTTATTAATTTATTTATTTAGTTATTAAATATTATGGCGTTATTTTTAATTAAAACACATCAAATATGGTAAATTTATGTTAATTTGACTTGGAAAAATTATAATATAAATTTCATATTGTAAAATATACGTTTAAATAATAAAAGTAGTAGTTTAATTTTAAAAAACATCATTAATTTACCTATTTGTATTTGATTAAATAAATAATTTAAAATTATAAAAACAAAATTAATAATTTATGAGTAGAATTAACATGAATAATTTATTATCATTGAATTAAGTTATCAATTACTTTAAAAACTAAGTTTAATTTTTATAAAAATTGTTATTTATTTACATGATAAAACATTATTATTATGTTACTCTGCTTAGAGACCACAATCCATGATTGTTCCAGTTAAGTTTGTTCTGGTATTTCGTATATTAAATAAATTATTTGTGTATTGTTTATAACATTTTAATTAATAATAATTTGATGATTTATTAAAGATATAGCATTTATATTTGTTAACAATTACACGAATAGTTCAGTGAACATAAGGATCGATACACCAAACCATAGGCTCACAAGTGATCATATAAACAGTATGTACTCTTCGAGTGACATTTTTAGCGATATCTCGTACATCATATCGGGTTCAGACGGTATTTGGAAAAATATTTCTAAAATATTAGTTTTATTTTTATAAATTAATTTATCAAATTCATAGCTAAATGAATGGTAATGTTGTATACACTCTATTCGGTCACTGCATTCACGCTCGCAATGTTTATTAATAGCCTTGTCCTCATTGAGTCCATGACTTACCGTAAGATTGCTTTTATCAATATTTTTAAAGTAAATGTATTCTACAGGGAATACAAAATACTTTTGGTAATATTTACGAATAACACATTCATCGACGCATTTAATAAAATTGTGCTTCATTAAACATTTTTCATTTTTGAACATGTACTTTAATATCACAGTAGATTTGTGATACTTAATCTCGGCACGTGTAATTCCACCCAACGGTATTCTAAGCATTTGTTTCCAGTAAAATTGGCGCAACTTATCCCACCTCGAATGAAAGTTAACGTATACTTCATCATTAAGCATGGTCATATTATTAAATATAAACGCCAACAGTCTGTTTGAATTACCCGCGGTGTTTAATATATACCGGGTGTCCGACTCACCCGACCATTGAGATAGCACTGCCCAACACATGGTATTGTCATCCATAACAATACCCGTCCAAATAGGCGCGATACCAGCGCAGGGTATTTTTGGATTTCCACCATATTCGCACGTATAAATGTTATACTTATCAACAATGTCAATTAATTCGTTAATTTTATAATTCACCATGTTCATTATATTAATATTAGTTGTGTTTGTTTTTAAAAATGATCGTAAAATAGGCTCAATATGTGCGCAAATGGTGAGTCCCGGCGGGTATAACACTGACGGCGATTCTGAGCGTATGGTTGTTGTGGTTTCGTATGAGAAGTATATGTAACTCATTTTGTAGGTCTGGTATAAGAATCCACACAATAGTAATGTTTTCAATAAAAGCGATTTTATAGATAGTTTTGAAAATAATTTTGGTATCATTATTAGCTATGTTTGTGGGTAATTATTTTAATAACTGTGTGGTAATTAATGATTTACCCGAGATCGTCTTGTTCATCAAATGCCATGGGCTCCTCTTTAAGCTCCTTTTATGAAAAATAGCTTAATGTTATTTATACACTATTCATAATATGAACTGAATTTCATATGTTATTCACATATAGTGTATATTAATTTTAACAAGGGTTTAATGATTTAAATGTATAACAACTTTAATAGTATTGCAATCATGGGCACATTATTAATATAAAATAGTAATGGTTATTGTGAATAATAGGTGGCAAAATACCTTGATGATTCAGTATATACGTTTCATTAAACCCTTGTTAAAATTAATATACACTATATGTGAATAACATATGAAATTCAGT